GAACCATTGGCAAGTGTCGAAGCGTTTGAGGGGTTTGAGGGGTTTGAGGGGTTTGAAGGGCAGTTTCGGGCCACTAGAAAAAAAGGATTTGGCGCGCCAGAGCCCGGAGCCCACAGGCTGCGCAACTCTGCCCACAGTCTCGCGCAGAGCCCAGAGCCCACAGTCTAGCAAGTGCGAGGTTTTGGAGCGTCTGAAGCGTCCATGGAGCGTCTGAAGCGTCCAGAATCCAGAAGTTGGCAGAACCATTGGCAAGTGTCGAAGCGTTTGAGGGGTTTGAAGGGCAGTTTCGAGCCACTAGAAAAAAAGGATTTGGCGCGCCAGAGCCCTGAGGCCGCAGTCTGCGCAACTCCGCCCACAGTCTCGCACAGAGCCCAGAGCCCACAGTCTAGCAAGTGCGAGGTTTTGGAGCAGCCCTTGACAAAAGCGAAGGTTCGACACCTTCGGTGGTCCCAGGCGCCGCCCCTGCCTTCGCCAGAGCAGGGGTCGGCGGATATAGTAGTAGGTAGCACTACCACGAAATTTCTGTGGCCTAGTGGTTCTTTGCACTACTACTGCCACTATTGCTTTGTTGGGCAACTCTTTGGAGGGAAGCGATATGTCGGGAAAGAAGGTGACCGCACGAAATATGAGTACGCTCAAGAGGCCGTGTTTGCGCAAAAAAGCCAAGCGGTGCCTGTTGCAAGGCACCGCTTGGTTGCGAATCGTGTTGTACTGCGTGAGGTGTATGTTGCCTCTCAGTTACATTGGCGAATGCCATGGTTGCAAAAGTACGTCATTTCCAGACATCGGTAGCGAAAACTAGAGGTTTCCCAGTGAGAAGATTCGAGCAACAAACGCGGAAAGTGAAGACTTCTAGAGACTCTGGAAAACTTGAGAATCAGAAGGAAAGGAGAGGAACAAGTATAACATAGAGAGGGAACACAGCAGAAAAGTATTTACAGGACTTGCAGAGAAAGGCATATACCGTATACCAGTATAGTATACCAGTAAACCTCAAAGGGAGAAGTGCGCAACAGTAGAGGATTCTAGAGGGCTAATACTAGTGCTGCTGCTACTCTTGCTGCTACTGCTGCTATGACCACAACTACTGCTATACCACGCATACGCCATGACGCCACGCCTCCTTTTTGCGCTTCTGAACACACGTGGAAATCAGCAGTCTTGAAAGCCACACACCATCATGTGCGTTTCATGTTTCCGGCTTGTGGCGTCAAGACATTGAAACCGCAAGTGATTGCTGGACGTAAAGCTGCTCCAGGTTCGATTGATGGGGGAGCAGAATCAGGTTGATGCAAAGTACTGCTTCAAGACCAGTTGCATGGAAGAGCTGCGACGAGTGGTTCTGGAAAGCCAGGCGGAGTTGGTGATTTCTTCGTCGTGGCGCCAGCTTCTTGAAACCATTCACAGCGTTTTTGTGGAGGGCAAAGGCCGTTGACAGTTTATGTTTTAATTTTTGCGTTAGTTCAAGAGACAGTTCCGAGTTACAAGACTTGGAGTTGGCATGATCGTGAACCCTTCGTGGAGATTGTGCGTGTCGAGTTACCAAAGTGTGTGCCTGTCCTCGAGAATCAAAGTCAAAGTTGCCGCAGTATGTAACTGTCGCGGAAGTAAGCTTCTGGGGGGAGGTAGCTTAGAAAAAGTCGCTATGAGGCCATCGCTAGTAGGTGGAGGCCACTTTATCTCTTTTTTGGGAAAACTTTGTTGGGCTCAGAACTGGCAACTTTGTAGTACCCATCTTTACCCCGTCCGGCTTTGAACCCAGAACCAATCCAAAGCCAAACTACGCCCAGGCCCATGAAAGGAAGGCAGCGCCTATAGGTCAGATTTTTTGAAACATCCCGCCGACTGGATTTGTACCCGGTAGCGATTGAAACTCCTTATGGTCGAGATCTACGAGCAATCAGGGCACCAATCTAGGTTCCACTAAGAGCATTACTACATATTGCTACTAACAAGAAGCTACTAGTAACAAGGTGCGTTGCTACTAGTAACAAGAAGCTACGAACGTAGCTAAGTAAGGGCATTACAAGCAGGTTTGCAGTCCGTGCACCGCGCTTTGGAGGTTTGAGAGCACCCGGCAAGTTCTGATGGAACACCTGGGCCAATATGGGCTTCTCGTTGGAGACTGGACCACTGTTGCGGGCGGTGAATCCAATGAAGCGCGCGTGGATCAGATTTTATCCTATGTGACTGCGCTGGACGTAGCATCCTGGGCAGTGGTCGATGACGAAGCCGCTAGAATGAACTTTAAGGTGTCGGAAGGACTTGAAACATGTTCGATGTGTGAAATAAGTGATGAACCCTTGCAGATGGAACTAACGATTCCAACTTAGGTTGCAACAACGAATTGCTTTGCCAAACGGTTTAACTCTTTGTGTTTGTTTGTTCACCCAATAGCACCAGCAGCCTTTCCCAGGTTCAGGTTGCAACTATTTTTTTCAGCAAATCATATGCTGATGCTGCTGACTTTCTACTTCATGAACGACCCCCCCACTCAGAGATGTTGCGTTTTCTTGACCCCAAACCCCGTCCCAAAGTCAGGGGGGTCCCGCCTAACAGCCCGTGTTGTTGAAGGTGTTGGATTTCTCCAGTCGTTCCACTGGCGCTGTATTCAGACTAGGTCTTCGCGCTATATTTTTTCTGGAACTCGACAGTATAGCCTTGCAGAAACCTATGTTTGTCGTTCCACTTCTTCAATGCGGCAGGATCTCTCTATCGTCGCCAGAAAAAGATTCAAGCCTTGTCCCTCCAAGGGCAATGCTACCAACGTCGAGTCTTGCGAGCCCCGCCCAAGGCTCCGATGCAAGAAACCCTCATGCAGCCGATCTTTTGACAGCCCCACAGTCATTCTCAAGTTGTGACCACTTTGCCACCAAGGGCATCGCTACGAGCGGAGCACGGACGCTAACTAGTAACTCAAAAAACAGAAAACTCAAAAGGCACGCGGGGCAACGGTGGGTCAAGGGATGTGACAATGCATGGCCAATCGGAGTGTGAGAGGTCGAAGGCTCACCAACTCAGAACGCAGCAGCAACCGTTGAATCTTGAATCGTGCCCCAAGAGAAAATAAAACCTAAGTAGTAACAAGTGCATCGCTAGTAGTAACAAGTGCCTTACTAGTAGTAACAAGGACGCTAGTAGAAACAATAAGCTAATAGCTACTTGCTCCTAGTAGTACGGCCAGGAGCCCCGTTCGTAGCGTCCTTGCTCCTAGTAGTACGGCCAGGAGCCCCGTTCGTAGCGTCCTTGCTCCTAGTAGTACGCCAGGAGCCCCGTTCGTAGCGATCCCTTTCCCCAAGAGAAAATTTTCTCAGAATCTTGAATCTTGATCCAGTAACCTTTGCGTGCGGAGAAATGGTTTAGTGTCGCCTGGCAAGTGCCTCCTGCGCAATGTAATGCGTATGCGCTATTAGGCTTGAGGTACCTGTACTTCTTTTTTCTTGTTTCTTTCTTTCTTGCTCACTCGCTCACTCGCTCTTTTTTCCATTGGCGTTAAACACGCTTTGTGCTTTTCCTAGTGTAGTATTGGCTTTACGCTTGCCCGTGCTTGTGCCCTGCAAAAGCAGATCACACAAGAGATTTCCATTCGTTCCAAAACTTAACGTACCCTTTAAGGCGATTTCTATGTAGCCCAACTTGCCTTGTTTGTGTGTGTTTGTGTGTTTGTTCGCGAGTGCCCTTTTAAGTTTGATCGTTCTCACCTATGATCTCAACTTCTATTTGAACATGGCTTCTACACTTAAATGTGTATTTTTTGAAGGTTTTCCTGGGTGAAGGTACCATTTTCACAATTGAAGCATGCTACTTCCTGCGGGTGATCCTTGTAAAAAAATGCGTTGCAGAATTGCTTGGACTCATTCCTTTCTCTTGTTGCTTCGCCTTGTCCGTTCCCCCCGCCAGCCCGCTTCAAGACGTCTGTTTCTGGCCCTGACCCCGCGCATACAAACAGAAGATGTCTCTGTCTCTCTCTCTCTCTCTCGCTCCCTCCCTCCCTCCCTCTCTCCCTCCTTGGCTGTTTCTTCATTTTGGTCACGCTGTCTACCGAACACTTTCATTGATGATCTCAATACTATTCAAGTCATTTTGCCCATGTCACCTGCCCTCAAGCCTGCTTACGTGGGTCAGACAGTCCTGGCCGTCACAGGCTTTGGTTTTTCAATCGTAGGCTTCTTTGGTTTTTGTAGGTCAATGAGTCATACTTCATGTTTCACTTCGGGTTCACACTGCAAGGATTTGGCTCCAAAAGATGCTGCTTCTTCGGAGGGCATGATGAAAGCTTTATTCCGGCAGCATTTTGTCCGCACAGAGGCATCAAAAGGACTGGACCGAGTGGCGGGAGACTTGCTCATAGAGCTTCTGGCAGAGTGAGTGCTTTTCCCTGGACTTTGCTGTCAACACTAACAGACTGACAGAGCGCGTTGACAATTTCACTTCAATACTTGAAGTGTTGGAACAACTGTGGGCAACCAAGCTGAAGAAGGAATGGGTGAGCTACGAAGGCTGAACGCGCGTGCTTTGGAGTCGGCTCACGTGGCGAAGGGCTGGTAGTAGCGATGGCCTCCAACCTACTAGCATCATGTGACGCACGGGAAAAGCTGTGCGTTGAAAAGAAGCATAGGCATATGTTATCAAAGGCTGCCGCTGCAGTTTGACTGGAACTTTGCTCAAGTGTCTTCCAGGGACAAGGAGAGAAGGCCTGTGAGATCAAGCAACGTTCATCTCAGGTTTGCGCATTCCTCAAATGCTGGCGTACGCAGGCTCACAGCATCAAGCAGTGATGAGATCCTTTGTCAAGTGGAGGCGCAGCAGTGCGCCCCTAGAGAGTTTGTGCGATCTTTTGGTTTGACCACCAAGTACATGAGGATGAGCAAAGTGACATAAAAGGAGCTGGGGCTGTAAATGTGCGCCGGGTTGCAAACCCCTTCTGGGACACAAAGTAAAATCACAAACGTGTACAAACTTTAAGTTCAGTAGCCCTTGAAGTCAGGTTGTTGTAGTTCAGGGTGCAGTGCAACATGTGCAGACGTGTCCCTTCCAACTGGGTATGGTCGTCCAAGTGCAAACCCTGCAGCACCTTTCCTTTTAAAAGAGGTTTGTTTTTCAAAGAGGTTTGTTTCTCTAAACTATTCTTTTCGATCCTTTCTCTTCAAATGGTTTCTCTAAATGAACATTTCTGACCCTTTCTTTTCGCGCTGTTTTCTTGTGCAACCCTTTTAGGCACCCGACAACGTTCTGTCCTGTCAGCGCCGAACACATGCCACGGAGCATGTTACATGTTGCAAACTAAAGCATTGATGGTGCCACACGCTTGCGCCTGACATGGCTGGACCTTTTTTGATTTCTTTTCCTGGAGCAAGGCTAATTTGTCTGTGCCTCATGTGGTTACAGTATACATTCCCCCCATGCTGCCATTGGATTGGGCAAGTGCACTAGGATGAGGACCTGTTGGTATCTTCTCATTGCGTCTAGCGAGCGACCAATGACAAAGGTATCCCATGGAAGGCTCTGGTCAGGCGCGATTGTTTACTTGTGTTGCTTTTGTTTTGACGCATAAAGATGCCTGAGCAAGAAGTGCGAAAGTCCATTTATGGGTGCCATCAGTTTCATCTCCCGTAGCCCATGCTGGCTCAAGAAACAAATCACAAATGATAGCAAACAGGTCACAAATCTCATGAACTCTTGAAATGTGTAAGCCATCAGCGCTTTATGAAGAGGCATCGAGCCTCACCAGCCTCTGAAACTACCTCACTGACACACAGCTTTCCAACAAAGCAGCGACCACTTCATTTTAATAAGCTCCAAATTTAAGTTAAGCTGATCAGACCTCCGCCTTGGTCCTCGCAGGCTTTTAAGTGCGTGGGGTTGAGAGAGATGTTGAGAGGGTTTGGAAAGTTGGTACAACTTGAGGTCCTTTGTGTTTTTGGTGCCGGTCGCGGCCTCTTTCGTTCGCTACTAGGAACAAGTGCCACGCTAGTAGTAACAGGTGCCTTACTAGTAGTAACAATGTTTGCTATTAGAAACAAGTGCATCGCTTCTAGTAGCAAGTGCCTTACTAGTAGTAACAATGTTTGTTATTACTGTAGTTAATTAAAGCACTGTAAGAAAAGAGTCTCTTTTTGCAGCAGCGACAGTTGCAGCAGGATGAAAGTCACTGACCAGCAAAGAGGGTCCTGGAACTGTGAACCCGACATTACCAGCAAAGTGTACAAGAAGCAAGAGAGGACCAGAGAAGGTAAGGGCCTCTTTCATAAGGCCCTTGATAAAGTGGCCTTAAAGAAGTCCTGACCTTCTTTATTGCCCCTCTTTCTTCATGTTTCTTGACAGTTCTTGGCATCACACACTGTTGCACATTGTGAGGCGAGCATGGACTTGCCGGGTGCAGTCCAGGACGAGGTTCGATGCGACCCGTTTTCAGTGATGTCATCTTACTATTGTTTTCCTGATTGTCCTGACTTTCATTGCAATGGCCTCCAACCTACTGGCAATGGCCTCCAACCTACTGGCGATGGCCTCCAACCTACTGGCGATGGCCTCCAACCTACTGGCGATG